AATAGCTAAGATTTCCAGAAGAAAAGGCATAACCGCAGGAACGGCTAGAAGTGGGTCGACTATCAAACAGAAATCTCTATTGTGCTGTCAGAAAGAAACAAAGTAAAGGGTACCAGATATCCTTCTACGCATATGCATCGCAGATCAAGCTGCCAATGTTGTTTATTGTTTAACATAACTGCAAACCATTGTCCTACATCTCAACTAACTGGAGCCAGCTATCAGAGAAATCTTAACTGATCGTTGCTTTATTAACTACATCTTTTTTATTACACGATAAGTGTTAAATTATAATTTTATGTGTACAGGAATAGAAATACAGAATCATGTTTGTTTTGAAATATAACAACGGTCTCAGACTCTCAGCAAATCAAAGTCAACCATACTGTATAATTGCTTCCTTTCAACTTCTCCATCATTATATCCTTGTTTTTCGTCTTCGCCTAACATCACATTCATTGACCTAAAAATTGCACAATTTGGGAACAAGATGGAAAAAAAATCCCATTTCATATCATTACAGTCAGTCAAGAAGACCAATGTTCCAGCAATTTTCTTTCTCACAATCTAAGCAACTTCAAAAATATGTTCTCTTCTGTAATTTCACAATTTTCAAATTGTCTGATTCAATTCGATTCACCATTTGAGCTCAACCAATTCCTGTCTTGTAATTACTAAAAGCCAAAATCATGTTCTGCCAAACTCGCTAGAAAACCCTTTACATCGTTTTTCATGAGAAATCATCTAACAATGGCAAAAATAGAGAGAAAATGACAAAAGGATCACTTCTAATCTTAATTTGAAAAATGGCTTCGCTTGGTGACTCAGTGTCAAGCAACCCAAAAATGCCTGTGGTTTATGGAAGTGGAGAATAAAATAAAACGGCATAAAAAAGTTCAAAATAAAGTAGCTTCAGTAGTGTTGGTGGAACGATCTAAGCACATGACAGTGTTGGAGGATAGATGGATAGTTGACACTTGACACTGAATATGAAAAAGAAGAAACGCAAGGGAAGAAAAATAAAGTAGCTTCAGTGGTAGGGATGCCATCCGTGGAAGGATCTACATAGTCTAATGGTCCGTGGTGAAAATAGGCCTCATTTTATTTTATTTTTTTCTTTTTCCTTTTCGTCCTCTTCTATGTTTACATCTTTAAAAAAAAAAAATGCAATTCAGGTAAGGTTTAAATATCAAAGGCTAGTAATGATATATTGTTGGAAAAATAAACTTGATGCAATTTTACATCACTTGACAATTGTGGCAAAATGGAATGTTGGATCCATTATATTGTAGATCTGTTGGTTTTGATCATTCTAGCAACCAGTCTGCATATGGCTTCTTTCCCTTTCTCAATGTAGGTACCATTGAAACACACTACCAACAGATCACCTCGTGCAAAAACGTGGAATTGAGAGAAAATTGTGAAAAAAAAAAATTAGATAGCAAACCTATGTAAATAGAACTTTGATTGTGGCAACCTTTTCAAACAAAAGTATAGTTGATATATATTCCTCATCAAATTAGATGGTGGCATTTAAACCGTGAGGGTCTTCCAGAGTAGAGAGCCCTCTCTTTTCTCTATCGTAGAACCATAGAAGAATGCCTATTTTTGTCTTCACACTCAAAATAAGACCTTCTGCCAACCTTCACCCCTGAATTCATTTAAATAAGGCTAAAAAAGTTTCGATAAAAACCTATGTGATGCAGAAGAATGCTTGGAATGAGGGGTAAGCCTATGATCGCTATTTAGGCATGGCCCAATTGCGCCTTCTTAAGGTGTCCTTCAAAGTGAGCCTAAACGGAGTGGCTAGGGTGGATTTTCGGGCTGATTTTGGGTGAGATAGGTGAATTGCACCTCCCCCATTAGCCATAGCTTTTGGGCAAAGTGGTTACATCCTCTTACATCAGTTGGTATCAAAGCTTCAGTCCCCATGTTTGAATCAATGTTGAGTATTTCCATGGAGTCGGTGTATAATGCAAGAGCATTCTTGAACCAGGAATGGGCCTATGATTGCTATTTGGGAATGGCACAATGGTGCCTTCATTAAGATGTCCTTTGAAGTGAGGCCCAAATAGAGTGACCTTGGGGTGAATTCCCGGGGCTGGATTGCACCTCCTCATCAGCTATAGCTTTTGGGCAAAGAGGTTGCATCTCCGTACACCACTATGCATAGTATTGAAATTCCATATTTTAAAAGCTTTTTATAGTTCTTCAAGAGTTTCCACTTACAACCTCATTCTCTCAGCCACTTAAATGCACTTTATGAACTTCTTATCTTTTAACCTTTTATTCTGAAGTCACAGCATGTATGACCTCATTCTAGCCATCTCAGTATTTTAATGTTCTGTTGCACTTGCCCACGGAGTTGTCTGCTGATCCTATACATTTCTCTTCCCCTTAATAAATATTAAATATTTAAATCAACAAATACAGGACAGACAAGAAGCATGAACTATGCAGAATTCCCATGCAGTTTACAGTAGCACCAAAAACCAGGAGCATCAACTTTAATGAGCCTGTAGAACAGTGTCAAGGAAGAGCGCGTATGTCATATTACTGAAGTATCAAGTGGGAAGTTCAATAGCAAGAACCATATGGAAACCCTGGCTGGATGGAAAGCATTTTAGCTAGTGTGGATATACGAAAAATAAAAATAAAAAAAGTTTTGGAGAACAAGAAGTATACTAGCTAATTCAGACTCTCCAAACCCCCCCCCCCCCCCCC